ATAGAGCATCGGCCTGTGGACTGAAGGGTCCCGGGTTCGATTCCCGGTCAGGGCACAGGCCCGGGTTGTGGGCTTGGTCCCTAGTGTGGGGCGTGCAGGAGGCAGCCAATCAACGACTCTCTCTCATCACTGATGTTTCTCTCTCTCTCTTCCTCTCTGAAGTCAATGAAAATATATTTAAAAAAAGAAGGCACTGCCTGTGCCGTGGCTTCATCCCCCCCACCCCGTGTTGAGCCGGGGAACCTGTGCCCTTGCTTCTGCGGCCGCTTCCCACCTGCTCCCCAGTGCTGGCCAGGTGTCCGCCTCTCAGCGAAAAGTGGACTGGGCCGAGGATCAAGTTCGCGGGTTTAATCCAGAAATAGCTTCACAAGGACCTAACGGGATGCCTGACAGATGACAGCAGCACCCAGTGCCATTCCTGATGCCTCTGGGGGCAGGGGGAGGTCCCTTCACTACCCTCAAAATAACAATAATAAAATAAACAAACTCAGGAAATAGAAGCAGAGAGGTATGCTCCTCTTAAGATGCCCAGAATGACCTTCCTCTTCTCCTCCTGGAAAACTGCTACTGACCTGTCAATATTAATCGTTTTCCTTTGGTGCCTGGCCAGTGTGACTCAGTGTTGAGCCTCAACCTATAAACCAGGAGGTCACTGTTCAATGCCTGGTCAGGGCACATGCCCAGGTTGCAGGCCCCGTCCCCAGTAGGGGCCATGCAGGAAGCAGCTGATTAGGACGTTCCCCTCATCATTGATGTCTCTCTCTCCCTCTCCCTTCCTCTCTGACATCAATAGAAATATTTTTTTGAATAAAGAAAAAACAAAATCAGAAAGCCCTCGCCCTTGGTCCATGCAGAGAACAGGGACTCGCCCCACGTGGGTCCCAGGTGGAAGGTCAGAGCGGACGTGCTAATAGGTGGTGGACGTGTGAGCAGGACGTGGGACCTTCCAGTTGGGCAGCTTGCCCCAACGTCATGAAGCCGGGGAGACCGAGCCATGTGTGGCCATGCGCCCGTGATCGCATTTGTCGGCGTCTTGCCCCGGGAACACGGCCCGGCCGACCCGTGTCGCCACGTCCGAGGCCACGCTCAGGCCCTGTGGAGCCCTGGCCCCGAGCTGGAGCACGAGGCTGCAGCAGACACCAGGCGCGAGGGCGCCGGAGCCGTGTCGCCTCGCAGGTCTGCGCAGCGGTTCCAGGGAGCGCGCCCCACGTTTAGAGTTTCCGGCTACGCGATGGTGTCCAGCCGGCACCGAACCGGGCAGAGGTCCCAAGTGCATGGGCAGACCGTGCGGCCGGAAGCCCGCCTGGGCGGTGCCTGTGCAGGCAGACAGTGTGGGGCAGTGGCCGCCGCCTGCAAGGAGGCCAGGCGAGGAGCCACGTCAGAGCCGTGGACTCCCCATCAGGTCCCAGGTGGAGGCAAGCTGCGGGCCTCCGGCCACAGGTCAGGCAGGGAGGCTGGTCCCTTGGCTCAGACCGTCCGTCTGTCCGTCCGAGACTGGCTGCCTGGAGAGGGCGCGTTTCTCGGCGAGGAAAGGGTGTGATAGCCAGCGCTGTCCGCTGCTGACGGCTGTTTTGATCTCTTGCTCAATAACAAACCGCCCCCAAAACCCAGCGGCTCAGGACAATGGCTGATTCTTCCTCCTGCCTCTGTGGGTGGCGGGCAGTGGCTCAGCTGGTCCTGGGCTCCCTCGAGCTGCCTCCAGCTGGCCAGTCAGCTGGCCAGACGGTCCCGACGGCCTGTCAGCAGCGCTGGGAGCTGGCAGTGTCACCTGTCAGCTGGGCAGCCGGCTCTCCCCGGGGCCTCGCGTCCTCCGGTAGGCCAGACAGTTGGCGGTCTCCCGGGCAGCGCCCCAGGAGCGAGAGGCAGGTGCTGAAGGTCTTTTGGGCCCACCTGGGCCCAGAACCCTCCCAGCCTCGCTTCCTGGGGGCTATCCATCAGAGGTGCAGGGCCACCCCGACCCCTGGGGGAGACAGGGACCGCACCTGAGGTGGTGGCAGGGGCGCTGTCCTGTTGCAGACGTTCACGGCCGCTCTGAGATTTATGCCGGTGACAGCTGTGCCCGGGGCACTGAACGTCTCACTGATCACGGGACCAGCTGCACGTGGCCTCCGGAGCCCACGCCGCTCTGAGGCCTGGGACCAGGATCTGACTCCAGTCTCTCTCCAGCCGAGTGGAATTTGTCCTGCAACGTCGACAGGGCACAGAGACGTGCTCAGCTGTTCTCAGTCCCTCGGTCCCTCTCGCCACTGCCTCTGGGTCGTGTGGGGAGCAGGCAGACGAGAGAGACAGAGGCGGTCGGCAGGGCGTTCCCCAGACACGTCCCTGCGTCCTGGGGCTCCTCAGACGGACGGTGTGGAGGCGGGAAGGCCTCTGACTCCTTCGGTTCTGGCTTCCTGGGCTGCTTGGCAGACGTCCCAGTGATTCCTTAAAAAAAGAACAGAACGCATTTGGGAAAGCCTTGCCCTGTCCAGGTTTTCCTTGATTCTGCAGTGTCGGCGGGAAGCCAGGCCTGTCCCGGCCAAGAGGCTCCTCCGTGCCCCTCCAGCGAGGACAGGGCCGCGGGCGTCGGGGAGGGTGGCCGCAGAGCCCCTTCCCTCCCGGGCCCCCAGGTGACAGGTGCCCGGTCGCCGGGTCCCTCTGGGCCTCAGTCCAGGGCCCTCACTCGCAGGGAGGCTCTGTGTTTGAAATGTTCACTTTCTTAGCGACGGGCTCTCGGATCCTGCAAAAGCGTCCGACCTCTTCCCCATGAGCACGTCCGGCTCTGTGCATGTGACTTCCGGTGGCTGTGGTCTCCCGGCTCCAGGCGTCTGGTCTGTCCGGCACCCAGCGGCTGTCCTTGGAGCTCAGAGGGTTTGAAAACAAAGACGCTTTTATACAAGTTTTCTGTGGGGTGAGAAGCTAGGAAGCAACGTTTATCAAGTAAATAAAATGTGCGACTGTGCTGCGAGCCACGGGTGTGTGAATGCGGCCTCACTTCCCTGCCTTTGCTGTGCGCTCCTGGGCTTAACAAGGACCAAACTCCCAGGGGCCTCCGTCTCTCCGAGTCATGAGCATCGTCTGGTTGTATCCATCTTGACGTTTCTTGCCCAACTCAGTGAACAGACAGGGCGATGGTGTCCTCCCAGGAGCCTGGCTTTCCCGGGGAATCTAACCTCCCGGGCAGGTGCTCAGCCGGCAGCACCGGGGAGCCGGCAGCTGCCGACTCGGAGGCAAAGCTGGGAGGAGGGTTTCATTGGCCGTGTCTGTCCCGCCTTCCGTGGCAGCCGGCGCGTGGCTGTGGCGCTGTCCATTTCCGTGAAGCATGTTTGCAAAGGGGACGCAGCACACACCCCACACCCCACACCCCAGTGAGCGGGAGTGTCTGCGGGAAACACCAGTGCCCAGTAGGACACACTCTTCATCAAAAGCAGCTTTTTAAGGAACGGTGACTTCTTAACGGCGTGTTTGAAAAACGGGTCAGCGCGCGAACAGCTCACCACGTGGATAAGGCCGCCTGGTTCCCGGCATGCTTTATGGTATGACTTCGGCCAACATGCGTGAGATGGATGCTCTTCGTACACGCTGAATCGTAACAAAAGCGCCCACGTAGCCAGTGCCCGGCCACCCTCCGGGGCCAGGGGGAGGCACAGACCCCCGGGCAGACCTCCCTCCTGCCTAAGGTTGTCATGTCACTCATCGGATCACGGTGAAGCTGGACGTGCAGTCTCTCCCGGTTCTGGCTTCATTTTCTTCACTTACCTGCCCACAGGGCCCCTGTTTGCTTGGATCTTAGAAAAACATGCTCCCTTTTCTGTGTCACCGAGAAAATCAGCCATGTGTGATGTCTCCACAAAAGCTACTTTTACGTGTCCTTGGGTTAATATTCGACCGAAAGGCCACCCATGAACTTTTAATACACAACAAACACGGTTTTTAAAAAGGTGGATGAGCAGTCACGTCAGTGAATTGCGGAGAGCGTTGTTGTGTCAGTCTTTTTGCTGAGCGCACACTGGAGAGAGGAGGGAGGTCATAG